GTTATCTTGTGCAATAGGCTGGAGACTGTTGAAACTATCAACAGATATTTCTTATTCATCAAGAAACTGCAGTTTAATTGGTTCAGGAATTCCAGTGTGAAAAAACCTGATATTCCGGTTCTGCACAAAGACTATTCCACTTGGTGACTCTCCTTTCAGACACTGGAAAAGACTAACACTGTCTGCATCCACCTACGGGTGCACGAGGTACTTTCTAGACTCTGTGACCCTCACGCTTTCTGGATGTCACAGTTAAGTCAAAAAGTAGAAGCCGTCAGCATCTTACACATGGTCACGGCCCTGACCTCAGGATCTCACTGGTGACCACAGACACTGCCGGCACTAGGTAGTTCTGGTCAGTAGCCTCTCCCACTTGAGCAGGAGGGGACCGCTGCCTGCACCCCGTCTTTTAGAAGACCTCCCATATCAGCAGCACCCAACACAGCGTAACAGACAGATGGGCGGGCACGGAGGAAGGGCTCGGCTGTGGCCAGAATCTGCCGAGCTCTGTGTCCTGGGCAGCCTGAGGGACAGTGGAGCGTCATCCCTCAGCAGATGCCAGGAGCCCTGTGCTCTCACCCCCCTCGCCATCCCTCTGCGTCGAAGTGGGAGCTTCCTCCTCGGTGTCCCTCCCTGGGCCCGCCTGCACCCACCCAGCCTCCCTGCCCTCTGCAGCCAGAGCAGCCTTCCCAGAATGCGCCCCCAAAGCTGTCACCCCACCATGAGGTCCTCTGACTGCCCTTCCCCAGCTGACGCTGGGATGACGACCACTCGCCTAATTGCTTTTCAGGGCTCCGTCGCCCCCCAGCTACCTCACTCTCGAATTTCGTCTTCCACCCGTGAGCTCTCTGCTCCTGCGATCACGGCTGCTAACCTTGCCTCGCGCTCTCTCACCTGATCAGTTTTTCGAGGACGCACACCCCACCCACCACTTTTTAGGAGACTTTCTTTTCTTCTTCCTTACTCTTTCCTTCTGGAACTTACTGCTGCAGAGACCTCGCCCACCAGGAGGTGAGCTCCCTGAGGTCCAGGGCCATATCCACTTGGCTCCTTGTTAGATCTTGAGCTCACTCAACAAACATCATCAAACAGAAATGGCCTCTTGTGTTTCCTTCTGGGTTGTCAAGGTACTTGGCAAAGCTGTCTGAAAGGTAAAGTTGGCAGCAAAGCAAAACCATTATTGCTGGTCCCGAGAAGCCAGGCTCAGCTGCCAGGGCTCCGTCACCTGTGTCCTGGCGGGAGCCGGAGGAAACGGACTGTCCTGACCAGGCTGAGCCCCGCGTCTGTGTTTGCCCACCACGGACAGGTTACCCTGGAGCTCGGCAGGGGTTTGAGCAGGGAACGCGTCGTACCAGCCACCAGCAGAGGCGACCAGAGCATTCCCGGCCCTGAGGTGGGCACGCGCGGGGCCGGCCTGCCCTGCGGGGCCGACTTCCGAGTCCGACTTCCCCGTCGGGATCTTTGGACAATGCAGCATGGCACTTTCACGTGAACTGTAGACGTGGAAAAAGGTTTTCACGCAGTTTTGTTTGGGTTTGGTGAAAGCATTGCACATTTCCTGCCAGAAATACTAATTAACTGCAAATGCCTTTAAATGTGTTCATGCATCTTGGCATTTGTCCACAGCTGGAGAAAAATTAAAACCGGCGTTGAATGGCATCTTTGTCTTCTAGAAGCGCCTGTTTGCGCCTCCCTCTCTTCTGAACCACGTTTCTTTTGAGGGTTTTAGGTGATTCACCAGATTTTTTCATCTAGTTTTTTAACGTAGTTGTCTCCTGGTTCAAAACCTTCCTTCAGGTCTAAAGCAAGTTTATTGTTGTTTTTTTTTTTTTTTCTTTTCTTTTCAAAGTGCTGCCTCTCAGGTGGTTATTTGCCAGGGGGCTCAAGAGCTAATATGAAACTGGTATTTGGATTTCACTCCGTTCCATGAGGACAGAGTTCACATTTTGTGATACAGGGACTATTCTCCTCGCGGTTGTAAGGGATTTTTGTGCCGGGAAGCGGGCCTGACAAAGACGGCAGTGTGCACGCTCCGTCTATAACTGAGCACTTTCACACTGCAATTTAGGAGGTGTGCAGCGCAGGAAATTGCTGGCTTTGGCTGGAGCGTACTTTAACTGCAAGGAAAATTTTATTCGTCACTCAAGTAATTGGCAGTTTTAATACCTTGTTCATAATTACCTTATAAACAAACGATATATAAACCAAAGATTGTATGGCCTGTTATCTGACTTGTAACCTGATTTCACCCACCTGATGGACACCTGTGGGTCTCCCTCGCTCTCCACACAAAGCCAATTTGGGCCATTTATTGCAAAAATCTACAGCCCAGCGTTTTCTTTCTTGCTGTTAAATGTCAGCGTAGCTAAGCTAGCCCCAGACAGCCCGGGGGGCAGAAACCACATGCAGAGTTGGGTGGGTGGCAGTGGCTGGCGAGGGGGAGGAGGTGTGGGTGGGGCGTTGGGCACTTTGGGGTTGCTCCACCGTTTGTGGGAGGACATCCTGGTAATGCAAACATTTGGGTTATGTGTTTAAGAGAAAATGTTTGCCCCTAAAACTTGGTTTTGCTTACCCCACACACCCTCACCCCAAGGCCCTGTGGCTTGCCTCCTGGACGCTGTCCATCTCCGGGACCTAGAAATTGACTAATTGTCTCACTTGCATTCCCTGGTACCTCACAGCTAGATCAAGGGGCTTCTACACTGGCGAATCCAGATGTGGAAAATGGTCAGAATCAGAGGTCACGGCTGACTTGACTGTAAACAAAGTTTGTGAGGCTTTAGAGTGATCTGAAGGGCTTGATATTTGTGTCTGGTGCACAGAACTGCTAATTTTTTTTAATCTTACTGTTATCACAGTTAAAAATTGGCTCTTAAAATACACATTGTGTGTGCTTGTTGCCTTGTGTAGCTACTTTAAAAACTGAGGTTAGAGGAAATGCAACCTTGGAATGTCTACATGTTGTCCACTGCTGTGGCCACAATTAAAAGAAGATAGAGTCAGACTCTCCGAGGTTTTGGATCAAAACCAATGATTCCCCCATCGTCCTGAACACTCACCTATGGAGAATTTTCACAGTATGTCGAGAAGCTGCGTTTGCTGTTGTTTAAGTAGAAAACATACGACGCGTTTTCTCCCCTGGCTCTTCTCCCTGGTGGCAAGGGCAGCGTCTGGCCTTCTGCCCCAATGGGTGACCAACGCCTGCAAACCTGGGGTGGGGTGGGGTAGGGCAGTGGTGGGGTCTTCTCTGTCTCGGGTGCAGGCCCAGGCTGGGGTATCCCCAGGGCATTCTTAGTGCTGATATTTGGCTCTCAGTGAGCCAAAACACTTCCCACATTGGAGTGAAACCAGAGGTTCCACACTTTCGCAAGGGTGAGAAGCAGCCGGCCTTTTCTGAGGGTGGATGTCCATGGAAGAACCTGATGCCAGAATACTTTTGAAACTGTCGCGTGATCCAAGCCTTCAGGGACCTCTTTGGGACAGTCTGGACTTGCTTGGTGAGGTGGCTCGGGGGTGCCTCCACGTGTTAGGTTGAAAGCTCTGGTTTCCTAATTTTAAAATTATGCTATGCACACCAGGAAATATGATTAAATGATATGATAGATGAAAATGCTTTGTTAAGAGTCAGCATCTAACAGGTGCTCAGTGTTATGACATTGCGTATACGTCTGAGGCAGAGGCTAGAGACAGATCCCTGCAGGGACAGAGCGCACAGTGTGGCAGCAGAGAACCCCCAGTGTAAGTGCAAGGCAGTGTAAGTGCAAGGCAGCCCAGGAGTCCCTGTAAATACCTAAGAGGTACCTAATTCAGGGGCGTTCTGAGATGGCGAGAGGTCTGTGAGTGGTAATGATGCAAAACCACGATGGAAATCCAAATCCAAGGGGCTGTAGAAATACAGTGATTGGCCAGAAGAATATACATGTGAGATCAAGTGTTTTTAAGTTAGAAACCCCAGCATGTGACTGGAACACAGAGCTCTGCTTAGAGGTTGGCTTTGTGCCTTGCGTTGTAAGGACAAGGCCTTTTGTTTTGCAGGTGGATTCTTATTTTCCCAGCCTTCCCACCTTAACATGTTATTTTCTCCACCAAACAGTGGTCTGAAAAGACAACCAATCCGACCTGATATGGCAATTAAGATGACTTGCACATCAATTTAATTCCTGTTTTCTGGCAGGATGTGTATGTCATGCTGAATTTTGGTTGTTTGGGTGACTCTTAAGAGCTTTGTCTTAACACACCTCTTTTTTATTTTGTGGTCTAATACAGGACTCACCAACAGACCTTCCAAAGTGGTGAAATTGTTCTGTACCAATTTGTCCTATTTTATAGCCACCAGCCAGAGCTATTAGAGACTTAATACATGTCAACTGAGATTTAAAAAAATGAATTCTACCATTTAATTTTAATTAAATTTAAAGGGACACCTGTGACTGTCTTATTGGACTTTATGGCCTGGCGTTTGACTGTTAATGTCAACACTTTTAAAATCTGATTACCCCCAGGGATTTTTTTAATGGGCGTGCTCTTATATTTTTATAATATTCAAAACTCTGGGATTTGTCCACTGGTTTGGAAAACGATGGTAATACACTGAATTCTGATATTTCTTAAAGCTACCCTGAGGCATGGCTTTTTAAAAAGTCCCAATCTGATGATTATTTTCAGTTCGTCGGCACCTCGAGTGTGGGTATGCTCGAGAGAACATTAGAATAGATCAGGAATCAAGAATTAGAGCTAGGGAGCTAACATGACAGTGCCTGTGAATGTTAACTTAGTGCTGGTTATTTCACATACCATTTAATAATGTGAATAAGGAAGGACTATTAATAAAATGACATTAAGAAAAACTACTCTTTCATGTAAAATTAAAGGGACCATTGTGTTGCTATCTAACTTTTTAAAGTACTGATTTCAGCAGTTTTCTGTATTTCTGAAGAGCAAGAAAGCTTTCCGATTATTGTACCATTAACTCTTTTGTACGTGCTGTCTTTTAATTCTAGAGCTGGAAACAGGATTGCTGAAATATTACCTGAACATCTGAAACAATTTCAGTCCCTTGAAACTTTGGACCTGAGCAGCAATAATATTTCAGAGCTGAAAACTGCATTTCCGCCTCTACAGCTAAAGTATCTGTAAGTCAGGTTTTCTTTAACAAAAAAGATTTTACCTAGGAGGAAATATCATTTTATAATTTTATTTTACATCGGCTTTAGGGGTAACAGACATGCCTCTCTTACTGCTCATGGATCAAACATGTAACTTTCTTACCGACTTGTCAGTTGCTGTAAGCCTGAATAATCACAGTCTTCATTTTGTTCTTACAATTTTGGATTACAAAAATTAGACCCCTTTGTTAGAAAAAAAAAATATACGGGGTTAAGCATGCTTCTTTTAAAAAAAAGTCAAAATGAAACCACTGCTGTGTTTCATGAATACATAAATCTCCTGAAAATTGAGAAAAAGGTTCTATCAAACTTTTGTAACCTTTGAATATTCTAGCCACACTTTCCTAGTAATGTGTGTGAATCACGGTCCACGGCGGCCCATGAGGTCGTACAAAATAGTTATTTTAAGTGTCTATCGTTACGAGTGATGTTTCGGTGCTCCGAAAATTTTTGGATATGGGAAATGCTTGCTCTTTAACTTCCCAATAAAAACAGAAGGAAAAGCTCATTTGAAAACTCCCAACAGGTATATCAATAGCAACAGGGTCACCTGGATGGAACCTGGGTATTTTGACAATTTGGCCAACACACTCCTGGTCTTGAAGCTGAACAGGAACCGGATCTCAGCCATCCCGCCCAAGATGTTCAAACTGCCCCAGCTGCAGCACCTGTAAGTCCGATGTCCCCTTGGGCACCATTTCGCACCTCCTCTAAAACCTGGCCCCTAAAATCTGCAGGAGGCGTTGGGAAGCAAAGCAGCTGGAGCTGCCTCTCCTCGGGGAGCTGGGCGGGCGGTGGTGTCTCCAAGCCAGCAGCCTCCTCCCTCACCTGGCGCAGGGCCTGCCGGGCAAGGCACCTTGTTGGTGCCCACAGAGCGAGCGAGCACTGTCATCCCTGAATGGTGTGCGCGCCCAGGAGTCATTGTAGCAACTCAGAAATCCGGGGACCCTCGCCTGTGGTTTATGAGAATAGAAGCGACAGCCCCAGGCGGCGCCGATAAGAGTTGGCTGCAAAGGACTGTCTCGTGAAAAATGGTAGCGTGAGCTGGAGCAGGCTGCTAGGAGACGGTGGTTTTCAACCTTCACTGCACATTCCAGACACTTGGGGGGCTTTTCAAAGTCCTGATGCCCAGACCACACCCACACCACTTACATTAGGACCTCGGGGGGTAAGATCCAGGCTTTGGTAATTTTTAAAACGCCATGCGTGATCCCAGTGTGCAACCAAGGCTGCAAACTACTGCCTCAAAGAGAACATCGTAAACATAAAAAGAATCATGCAAGATTCATGCGACCCACGGGCAGCAGGATAAACTCGCAGCGCTGCCCCTGAGCAGACGTCACCTTTTAACGCCCTGGTCTTGGTTCTCATTGCAGATAATGTAGAAACAAAAGTCCGTTTATTTCCCTCTCTGCCGACGGGACGACCGTTTAGATGCGAGAATGCAGTCCAGTTTGAGTGTTTTATTATTCCAAAAATTCATCACACATTTCAGAAGGAAATTCACTGCTAGCTTATAAAATTTGTCCCAATAAAGATGTTTAGAAGCTTAAAACACCCAATATAATTTGACACTGGCTGGCTTGACTGTTTGGTCGTGATGACGTGTTTTATCACTGCCTCCAGACTTTATCACGGGCGCTGATGTTTAACTGTATGTCCCACGCAGTGAACTGAACCGAAATAAGATTAAAAACGTGGACGGGCTCACGTTCCAAGGGCTTGGTGCTCTGAAGTCTCTGAAAATGCAAAGGAACGGAGTGACGAAGCTTATGGATGGCGCTTTTTGGGGACTGAGCAACATGGAAGTCTTGTAAGTGTGGCTTTGCACAGCCCCTGCCCTGGTGGCGTGGCCGTGGGATGCTCAGGGAAGACGCTGAAGCTCTCATTGGAAACCTTACTTTCCACTCATCCTTTGGAATCGTATTTCTAATTTGACGCTTAGCCTTGTCTCAGGTCACGTGACTGAGCGCTTATCAGCACATGGTATTTTTTGCTGACGTCTTTCTAGAAAACTGAAGCTCTAGTAACAGGAGGGGTAGGTGAACGGGGGTAATCGCAGTCTCCTCGGGCGGGACGAGGGAATGACCTTGTGGTCCTACTTTTGATTCCTCTTGTAAATGTAGACAGCTGGACCATAACAACCTCACAGAGATCACCAAGGGCTGGCTGTACGGGTTGCTGATGCTGCAGGAACTTCACCTCAGCCAAAATGCCATCAACAGGATCAGCCCCGATGCCTGGGAGTTCTGCCAGAAACTCAGTGAGCTGTGAGTTGCCTTTTATTCTGCTCAGGTTTGGAGCAGGGATCATGCCAGAGCATGAGCTTCTTACCACTGATCTGTGAAATTTTCATAACAGAGTTTCCAAGGTGACAGCTTTCTTCACACACAACCTAGTCCTATTTTGGTTGTGATCGTCGAAGCCAACTCTGCTCTTTGGGTTCTGTGGCCTGTGGGTAAAAGCAATGAGGGTGACTTTCAAGCAGAGAGAACATTTTTTCCTTAAGGATTAGGTTTAGAGGTAATGTTTATCTGAGTGTTATTAAGAAGGCAGAGCTTTAAAATAAGGATTATCGTGGTTCTCTAGATGAACCTGTTTGGGGGAAAACAAGTCATGCTGCATTGGAAAATAAAAGCTGTTATTTGCTTTTTGTTCCATTTTTCTTTACAGCGACCTCGCTTTCAATCACTTGTCGAGGCTGGATGACTCCAGCTTCCTGGGCCTCAGCCTGCTGGATACGCTGCACATCGGGAATAACAGAGTCAGCTACATTGCTGATTGTGCCTTCCGGGGACTTTCCAGGTTAAAGACTTTGTAAGTTACACATTTTGTTCTCTGTCCACGAACCTAATTGGTTCCTAAATGTGCCCACTTTTCCCCAAGCAGATTTCCTTTGTCGGGAAGGAAATGTGGACAGCCTCAAAAGGAGTGTCTTAATCCTTCCCAGATCAGTTTGATTAAAATAGGTCCATTTCATCCATATGTATTTCTTAGAGGGATTTAAAGAGGACAGTGATCAGCTTGTTTTGGTGATTAGAGTTAACCTTCTCAGGCGCTCCAGGAAGTTGGTAACCGCTCAAGAGGAAAACCATTTTAAATCCACAAATTTTTCTTTATAAAATGCAGATTAAACGTTACTCAGAGCATAAATATATATGTATGTACCAAGAGCAGCAAAAGACAATGCCTGTTTATAATACCAGTTCCCTCCAGACCTGAGCTGTGTCTTACGAGAAAGAAGTGAGTGTTGGGTTCCTCGACCTCGGAGGACTCTCTCCAATGTTCATTTTAATGGTGTGCGATGAGCTTTTGCTTTTTTGCACTGTCAGAAACTTGTGCTCTGTTCGCTATTTGAAGCATTACATAATTGAAAGACAGGCTGTATGCTTTGGCAAAGTCCTGCTGCTGTGGTTGGGAGAGTGGTTTTAAACTTTAATGTATTTTTCAAACTCTTCAGTCTTCCAGAATTTGGTCATCTCGACAGGGGAATTAATAGCACCAGAGTCGACTGTCCTGATTTTAAGCAAAAGTTTAAAAAGTGATTGAGGGAGGGGGATGAGGTGTAAAAGGCGTGTTGGAGAAAGAGTTCGCCGTTGTTTTGTGACAGGCAGAGATGATGTGGGGGTTTGGGAGGAAGTTATAAATCTCATGCCTCCTGGGTGGGGAGCCTCCATTCCTGAGTGTGTCTCGAAAGAAAATGATTGCATTTATTGTAGAGTACCTCATACTGGTTTCAATAATATTTCCTTTCTTAATTAGGGATCTGAAGAACAATGAAATTTCCTGGACTATTGAGGACATGAATGGGGCTTTCTCTGGGCTCGACAAACTCAGGCGGCTGTGAGTATGATCTGCCTTACTCTCGGACCTGACCATTTTGTCTTCATGAAGTCTTCAAGTCAGTTCCCAAATTGACATCTTTTTTTAAAAAAAGATTTATTTATTTACGCACACAAGAGCTGGGGTACAGGCCAGAGGTGTGGGGCTGAGAGGTCTCCCCAGAGACAGAGTGGGGAGCAGAACAGGTGGATCCACTGAAACCCACTGCTGAGGGGAGCAGCACGCAGACAGGACAGGTCTGCTGCGCCATGTGGGTAGCTCCCTGGCCGGGGATGGAACTCGTGCTGCAGTGGCTGCAGACAGCTTCGTAGGTTGCATCTTAATCCTTTGCGCCACCAGGGAGGCCCCAAGTTGACATCTTAAAGAATTTAGAAATAGGAGCTTGGTCTGGTTGCTGCCCCTGATCATTTCCCCAGATGAGTGCATTTATACAAGGTGGTGTTAGTGAGCTTTCCTCCCCTGGGTGTAGTGCTTTCATCAATACGAAGGGTGGCTTTTTAGTAGTATCTAGATAAGGATTTAAAATTTTTTTCGGTCTTAGGCACCTGCCATCAGCACTGGGTAAGAGTTAGAGCACTTACTAAATTCAGTATTTTGAAGCTTCTCAGAATTGCATTCTTCTCATAGGAATTTTTTAAATGAAGGGATCCTGTGTCTACAGATGAAGCTACAGCAGCCTCTTTGCTATCCAGGATAAAAACATGCTAATATTTAGCCATAAAATATCCTTGCAGGTGGCTACATTCTGCGTTTTAAGCGTGTGATTTTCAAATGAAGTTATGTTTAGCCCTAAGTTTCTGTCGTTGATGAAGCTGCCCCCTTGGAGGGAGGAGAGAGAAAATCTCCCCCATTGTATGATGTACTTATTAAAATTAAGATATAATTTACTTGGAACAAAATGTTTACCTCTTCCTAAGAAGACTTTGAGAATCACTGCTTTCATTGAGTCGCAGGAGTAACTCACTGAAGAGCCGCTGGGTCCACCAGATCCCTGGACTCCAGGTTGCCTTCTGGTCCGGACGCGGACGGCAGGGGAGCGCTTTCATGGGCTCTGTTGTGTCATTGAGGAAAATAGGATTATTCACAAAGGATTTAAAACCGTAAGAATTCCACTCCAGTGTGCCTTTTATTAACTGTTTAAATATATTTTTCCCCCCTAGAATACTCCAGGGAAACCGGATCCGATCTATTACCAAAAAGGCCTTCACTGGTTTGGATGCGTTGGAACATCTGTGAGTAGCTGGGAGTTGAATGCGCTCACGATACTCTAAGGTGCCTGCGGAGGGGTTGGGAAAGAGAAAACGAGTTAGATTATAATTCGGCTGGTTTCTTCTAGTGTAAATACATTTATGCATCGACTTCTCTCTCTCCCCTCCCTTTATCTCTGTGGAGGAGTACATAGGGGCACATTTTCCTTTGCATTTAAGAATATCGCTACACATCATTTCTGGGTTTCGCTGTAGTTGTTTTTCTCAAATAATGATGTGTTCCATTTAAAAATAAACTACCTTTTGTTATGGGATTGGACAACTTAATATGCACATGACCCATAGAATGATACAAAACACCTCTTTGGTAAAACCAAGCACCAAAGAAGTGTTTTGTATCAACCGGACACCTGGGCATTCTTGAGGCTATCTCAGATGGATTTTATGGAATTCTTTTTAGTCTACCATCTCAGTTTTTTTCTCCTCTCCATACTAATTCTGAGGTTAGGGAGGGGTCTTCTTCAAAGAGTCATGATCCTGCTTAAAAAAAGAAGAGAATGAGAAAAATGTTCTCTCCAGACCCAGACTCAGTGAAACATCAAAATCCAATAAAAAAAAAAATAAATAAAAATAAAAATAAACTACCTTTTATTGTGCACCCCCTACGTCTCAGGCAACATGCCACATTTTTATATCGAGTGTAGCATTTCATCTTCACAAGAGCACTATTTAATGGATCATCTTTATTTCTAAGTTAAGAAGTAGAGGCTCCACGTGTTTATTGATTCCAGGAAGAACATGACTTTGATTTTAAAGATCAAAAAAGACCATCCCCACAGGCCTTAAGTGTGGCAGCAGCAGGTCATTGTAGCACTGCTTTGGGAATTTCTGTTAATTTGTCGTTGCTGTTGTTTCATTGTAAAATGTACCTCCCATGCCCCCCACTTCGCTGTCCCTTCTCTTTGCCACTAACCCATCGGCCAGTCCTGGCAGAACCAGCCCTCCACCCCGGGGTGCCTGTCCCCCCCCCCCGCCCCTGCGTCACCCTGCTCTTGCCTCCACGGCCTCTGCCCCGACCCTCCTCAATCACCCGGGCACCCATTTCAGAAATGGCTTTTAGGGACTAAAGCCTTGACAGGAGTCCATCTGCTCGGGCACTGCCCACGCCAGCCGCTGTTGACCGGGGGTGCCAAGTCTGTGCCCGCAGCCTCACGTCTTCCTATCTGCTAACTTGGACAAATGAAGTTATTGTTTAAAATGCCATTGAGCCCGTTCCCTCGTGCGTGCTGTGCCTCGGAAGGGCGCAGCTGGCGGGTACCCGGGACCACCGGGTCATCGTCTGACTCCCGGCCAGCGGAGGGTGGTTGGGCTGCGAGCCGGGCTCCCGCGGCCCTCAGGTCGCCGGCGAGAGATTCTGCAAAGCAGAATTTGGAAGGGCGGACCGGAGTTGCTGGACTTACTGAAACAAATTATTTTCAAAGGGAAACAAGCCAGAATGGGTTTGTCATCTGACCCAGTCCATTTCTGGGAAAGTGGAATTAGTGGCTCAGCGAGCGTTAACCTCTGCTTCCATTTTCTAAACCTTGACTCTCCTGACCTCTCCCTCTGCCCGTGTTCGGGCCTTCATTCTGCCTTTTGTCGCCACTTTTCTCACCAAAATCCCTTTTGTATACTGTAAAGATGAACAGAGTGCCAGTCGCTGTGGAGGCTCCTTTAATTCAGACTGCTTATAAGTTAGAAATCGATCTAGAATATTCTCTCCTTTTATAAATGTCCTGCCTGAAGTATGTGGGATGTTTGTCATTTTGGAGCAAGTCTGTCTTGTCAGAACATTTCACTGTCTGTCCAATAGTGAGTTGGGTGTGGTCGGCTAGGCTACTGAGGAAGAATATAGGTTTTTTTTGTTGTTGTTTTTAAATAAATTTTATTTTTATATTCCCCATACAATTGCAACCCCCTTATTTTGACCCCAATCCCTCCCCTCCCCGCCCCCCACCCCCCATAGAGTGTCTCTGGTTCATAGTTGTTTGTTGCTTTTGATATTTTCTTTCTTATAGTTATTCATTTTCCTGGTCCCTTATTTAAGTTTTCTAGATTCCTGCTATGAGTGAGACCATCCGGGATTTTTCTTTTTCTTTCTGGCTTATTTCGCTGAGCATGATCCCTTCCAGCGCCATCCATGTTGCTGCAAACTGCATGTGTTTATCTTTTTTGAATGCTGAGTAATATTCCATGGTGTATATGGACCACATCTTCTTGATCCAGTCATCTATTTTTGGGCATTTGGGTTGTTTCCAAAGCTTAGCTATTGTAAATAGAGCTGCTATAAACATAGGGGTGCAGGTGCTCTGTGGAATTGGTGTTTCTGTGTCCTTTGGGTAAATACCTAGGAGTGGAATTGCTGGATCCTAGGGAAGCTCTGTGTTTAGTAGGTCCAGAAATCTCCACACAGCTCTCCATAGTGGTTGGACCAGTTTGCACTCCCACCAACAGTGCAGGCATATGAAAAAATGTTCAACATCACTTGTAATCAGGGAAATGCAAATCAAAACTACCATGAGATACCATCTCACACCAGTGAGAATGGCACATATTAAAAAAACTAGCAACAACAAATGTTGGCGAAGATGTGGAGAAAAAGAATATAGGTTTTGAAACAGAAAATCGTTGTGTCAAATCTTTTTTTTTAAGATTTATTTTATGCATACAAGAGCTGGGGTGCAGGCCAGAGGTGTGGAGGTGAGAGGATTCACCAGAGACAGAGTGGGGAGCAGAACAGGCGAATTCACTGAAATCCACTGCTGAGGGGAGCAGTGGGCGTGACAGGCGAGGTCGGCTGTGCCATGTGGGTAGCTCCCTGGCCGACCAGGGATCGAACTCGTGCTGCAGAGGCTGCAAACAGCTTCATAGTGCTGTGCTTAACCCCTTGTGCCACCAGGGAAGACCTGTTGTGTCAAACCTTATAGACCCTTTGACACGGAGCAAGATGGTAATACCACCTTCTGCCATGCTCTGGGCATAACTGCAGTAATGTATGTAAATCACTTGACATAGTGCCTGTCAGAAAATACTCTATACATGATGGTTTTTCAAAGCACAATGAGGAATTTTGCTTATGTATTTACAAGTTACTAATGGGAACTCATGTGAATAATGAGAAATGCAATGAAATAATAGCACAGAAACTTGGGCCCTTGGGAGTCAAATAGTCTATACCTGGTAACAGAAAGCAAATCTTTCTCACCATCACAGAATCCACCCCTCACACAAACACTCTTGTTCTGCACCCACGCTTCCTAGAGGAGTCTTCTGGGGAAGCCCACTGTCCATTTCTTTTTTTTTTTTTTTTTTTTGTGGGACCCTTGCTGGTGGCCGGGGATCGAACTGGCGCTGCAGAGGCTGCCAGCAGCCTCGCAACCCAGCGCTCAACCGCTGCGCCACCAGGGAGCCCCCCCCCACTGTCCATTTCTGCAGCCAGTGTCTGGTGGGTGACCCCAGCCTTTCCTGGTGGACACGGGAGCCGGGAGCTGGCACTGACGCGTCTGCTCTGCTTGCTTTCAGGGACCTGAGTGACAACGCCATCATGTCCTTGCAAGGCAACGCCTTCTCGCAGATGAAGAAACTCCAGCAGCTGTAAGCTCACCTCTTTCTTCCCAAGAGTTCCAAAGCAGCGAGGGGGGAACTGTCCTCTGTCACCCTAGATTAGGTGCCTGTGAAAGGGTCTAGCATATTCCTAATAGGACTTTAGTTTTCTACCAGAAAGCAACAGCACTCGGTTATTTGTACCCTCTGTGGAAAAAGTTTTTTTTTTTCTTCTTTACTGTTATGAAATCTCAATTAAAATGTGTGGTAACTAATACCTCACAGGGCCTAAACATAGCAAGTGCTCAGTCAGAAGGTATTTTTTTAAAGATTTAGTTATTTATGCATACAAGAGCTGGGGTGCAGGCCAGAGGTGTGGGGGTGAGAGGATTCACCAGTGACAGAGTGGGGAGCAGAACAGGCAGAGTGACTGAAAGAGGTCTGCTGGGCCATGGGGGTAGCTCCCTGGCCGGGGCTAGAACTCATGCTGCAGAGGCTGCTGATAGCTTCACAGTGTTGTGCTTAACCCCTGCGCCACCAGGGAGGCCCGAGGAAGGTATTTTGATCAGCAGGTCTGTCCCCAGAAGACAAAAGCAGCAAAAAAAAAATTGTGCTGGTTGCATTTCTTGCATTTTCACGGGGACTGTAGGAATTCTGTTACTTGGGGGGTGTGTATTTGGTTTCTGCATTCATTGGTTTGTTAATATTTGCTTGGGTTTAGTTTGCTTGTGGAAATCTGCATTTCATACAAAACAAATTGAATGTAATTACTCTCCTCAGGCATTTAAATACATCCAGCCTTTTGTGTGATTGCCAGCTGAAATGGCTCCCGCAGTGGGTGGTGGAAAACAACTTTCAGAGCTTTGTCAATGCTAGTTGTGCCCATCCTCAGCTGCTGAAAGGAAGAAGCATTTTTGCTGTTAACCCAGATGGCTTTGTGTGCGGTGAGTATAATGACTGCACCCCCTTCGTTCCGTCTCTGATTTTTTTTCTCTCTTATTTATCCAAATGATTTTGAATAAATTTATGTCCTCTTGAAGACCTTACACTTGGCTGGGGTCGATCGATGAAAATGGTTCTGGAGTTCGCTGATTCTTTCAAATTTTGGAAATGAGAATTTCTTTTTTTGGCATCAGGGTGGTTCAGTGGGAAGAGAGTGACATTGGGTCCTGGAGACTTGAGGGTAGATTCAACCCTTCATCTAAAATTCCCAAGACCTCCGTCTTTGCGTCTGTGGAATGGCTGCCCTCTGCTCTGCCTGCCGCTCGGCGGGCGTTGTTGGGAGAGTCAGCTCCGCTCACCCAGGCCCTGGGCAAATGCTGTTCACGGGGAGTGAAAAGAGAAAACAGGAGGAGCGAGCGATTTTTCTAGGCGGCTAACAATTTAACTGTTGCTGGATAAAGCATCGCTGGTGATACAAAGTTTGAATTTATTAATATAATAAATTGTAGGCCCTTGTTTTCGCACCCGAGAAAATTCTCCGCATTGGAAATCGGCTTCTCTGAACTTGGCCCAGCACCTTCGCAGCTCTCAGTCAAAACTCCAGGTTTTCATTTCCTTGGGTCAGTCTCCTGTCCAGTGCACTGACCGCCGTTTACTGCGAGCAGCCATGGAGGCCTCTGTAAACAATAAACGTGTGTGCATAAAACATGAAATCAAAAATCGTCCTACATCTTAGCCTGTGTGCTAAGACGTTCCCAAACCTTAGTTTACATTGGCTTTATATTTTTATTTAAAACGGCTCTGCCTGTGATTGTTTAGTTAAGTACAAAGAAAATACAATTTTTTTAGGTTGCAGCATTCAGCAGTGCCAGCAGTGCTAGAAATAAAACTTCTGATGTAGCTTTTGGATCTCAATAAGCTTCTGGCCTTCCTCTGGAAAGGCCTCAGCGACTCCTTTCCCATGGTTCTTATTTCACAATTCTCTCGTCCCAAGATGTGAACTCTCTGTTGCTGTCAGACATGTGTACACGATGCCTCGATTTCTCGCACTCCCTCCATTTTGAGTCTGAACGTTGATTTACCAGATGAGTATTTTAGAATAATCGTGCAGAAGAGACGGCTGGTCACAACACACAGGCCTGGCACTGAAAGTTAGTGGCACTGGAGTTATCAGCATCCTCTACACCCCACACCCTTTTCTCTGTCTCTCTTTCTCACTGCACACACACGCGCACGCACGCACACACACACACACACAATTTTTCAGAGCTTCCAAAGAATGCTTTTTGGTCAATGTAAGATGTTTAAGATGTTTTTTTCTGGGTTTACACCATCTCTGAGAAACTGAAGTTGAAAAAGGTGACTTTTCCAAAAAGTAGCAGAGAACTAAAAATAAGGCTTGGATGAAGGAGTCGCTGAGCTCTAATGACAGCTAGCGCCGCGGCCCGTTGTCGCTCACGGCTCCGCACGGAAGCCGGGGTCTCCCGGAGCCCATGGAGATGCTGTTCTTGCCACAACCAGACGTCTCCCCGCTGCTCTGTCTAAAAAGCAGTAACTCTTTTTTTTTTTAATTTCTCTAATCGTTAGATTTTTTTTTTTAAGATTTATTTATTTATTTATACAAGCACTGGGTACAGTCAGAAGCGCGGGAGGGTGAGAGAATTCACCAGAGCCAGAGCGGGGAGCAGAGCAGGCAGAAGGACCGAAGTACACTGCTGAGGGGAGCAGCGGGCGGCAGGAGAGGTCTGTGCGCCATAGGGGACCCTCCTCCGGTGGCCGGGGAGCAGCCGGGGATTGAACCGGCGCCGCAGAGGCCGCAGGCAGCTTCGCAACCCAGCGCTCAACCGCTGCGCCACCGGGGAGGCCCAAAAGCAGTAACTCTTTCTACAGATTCTGGTTTTGGTAAATAGGATATTAGTTGCTGTTTTTATTGATGTTATTATTGTTGTTGTTTGAGTTTTTCATTCTACTGCTGCCTCTTGGCGGAGAACAGGGGGAGAAGTTGCAATTCCTGATAGCAGCATGTAAAGATGATCCGTCAGCCTGGAAATTTCATGACTGATTTCTTCTTATATTTATATTAAAAAAGCGCAGGCAGCCTAGCATAAGCTCTCGTTCCAAAACAACAGCCTCCCCTCCGTTAGTAGCCGTTGAGAAAGACCCTCTCCTCTCCTTGACATGCACGAACTGTAAACGCCCTCCCCGGGTGTCCTGTCCCCCGGCGCCTGCCAGCCCATCTGTGTCTCACACACACAGAGGGTAAAACCTAAACCGCTGTTTGTTTTGAGTTCCTTGGTGTTCGAATCGGAGTAGATTTTGGACTCTCAAGCCTTCAAATTGCTTTGTTTGCTCCTCTCTGTTTTGGACAGATGATTTTCCTAAGCCCCAGATCACGGTTCAGCCAGAAACACAGTCGGCAATAAAAGGCTCCAATTTGAGTTTTATCTGCTCGGCCGCTAGCAGCAGCGATTCCCCGATGACTTTTGCTTGGAAAAAAGACAATGAATTGTTGCATGATGCGGAAATGGAGAACTACGCGCACCTGCGGGCCCAGGGGGGCGAGGTGATGGAGTACACCACCATCCTCCGCCTGCGCAGCGTGGGCTTCGCCAGCGAAGGGAAGTACCAGTGCGTCATCTCCAACCACTTCGGCTCATCCTACTCCGTCAAAGCCAAGCTGACCGTGAACAGTATGTGATGTGATTTTCCTGTTGCCTTCCAAGACAGCTTTTAGAAAGCACCTGGCTCCCTCTTACTGCTCATCTCACCTTTCCCCATCTGACCTCTCCCCTTGCTTCCCCTGTGACTCACTCTGCAGAGCGAAGATTCGTGCTTGTTTGTATCTAAGCAGTTTTCATGGTGAGGACACCATGCTTGGCATGGACCATACAGGGACAGACCAGGCATTTTCTGCCTTTCAGGAGTCCCCGTGGCCCAGTCATCAAATGTAGTGCTGAAAGTCTCCTGGCCTTTAACTCACATCTGGGTTTGAATCCTGCCACTTGCACCTGTAGCTGTGTGGCCCTCGGCAAGTTACTCAGCCTCTCTGTGCCCGCATTGGCACCTCTTTCAATTAGGTATAATAGTACCTCCCTCCTAGAGATGTGATAATTATTCCATTAAATAATTTGTGGGACCTCCCCTGGTGGCGCAGGCGGTTGAGCGCAGTGCTGTGAGGCTCTCCAGAGCCTCTGCCGCATGGGTTCGATCCCGCCCGGCCGGTGAGGGTCCCACATGGTGCGGCAGACCTCTCCTGTTAAGCCCGCTGCTCCCCTCAGCAGTGTATCCCGTCAGTCTGCCTGTTCTGCTCCCTGCTCTGTCTCTAGTGAATCCTCTCACCCTCCCATGCATCTGGCCTGTATCCCGGTTCTTGTATAAATAAATAAATAAATAAATAAATAAATAAATAAATAAATAAATCTTAAAAAAATTAATTTGTGAAAAGAACTGAGGAGTAAAGTAAGTGCTCAGTAAATGCAGGAAGTTTTAGAGCTACTATTAATAAAAGTATTCCATCACTGGTGTTACGGGCTGGTATGCATGTGACACCAGGATCCTTGCCACTTTGTGATTTGTTTCTTCCATGGTAAAAGGTTTTGAATTTGATCGATTCATGCATTCATTCTGCAAGCGATCACTGAGGCCTGACACGGAATAATTTTGAGTTTAAAATGGTAGGACACAATGCACATCCAGAGCCATAGATTGTTAGAGCCGGGAAAGACTAAAAAAAAAAAATCAAAAAAAACAGATGAAGTGATTAGTTCAATCACAAAGAGATTAATTGATGATCTCTCGGATACTTAGTGAGCAGAAAATGGAAAGGTCTTCAGACTGAGGGTCAGTTTTTATCCTGATTCCATCATTTCTGTATCTCTGTGACCTCGAGGGAGTCAATTACTCTCTCCATCCCAACCTTAGTTTCCTTGCCTTGTAATGAAGACAACCCCCGCCTTCTATCAGGGACAATTGTAAGCATCGAAAAGCAAACAGGGGCCTCCCTGGTGGTGCAGGGGTAAGTCTCAGCACTGTGAAGCTATCCGCAGCCTCCGCAGCGTGAGTTCAATCCCCGGCCAGGGAGCTACCCACATGGCACAGCAGACCTCTCCTGTCTCCCCGCTGCCCCCCTCAGCAGTGGATTTCAGTGGCTCCACCTGCTCTGCTCCCCACTCTGTCTCTGGTGAATCCTTTCACCCCCCACACCTCTGGCCTGCACCCCAGCTCTTGTGTGCTTAAATAAATAAAATAAATCTTTTAAAACAAACAGGCAGGGGAGTGAGAGAGTGAGCCTCCGGACTCCGCAGCACTAACGCCAGGTGGTTTTCTGCCCTCAGTGCTTCCGTCCTTCACCAAGACCCCCATGGACCTGACCATCCGCGCGGGGGCCATGGCCCGCCTGGAGTGCGCCGCGCTGGGCCACCCGGCCCCGCAGATAGCCTGGCAGAAGGACGGGGGCACGGACTTCCCTGCGGCCCGGGAGCGGCGCATGCACGTGATGCCCGAGGACGACGTCTTCTTCATCGTGGACGTGAAGATAGAGGACATCGGGGTTTACAGCTGCACGGCGCAGAACAGCGCGGGGAGCATTTCTGCAAATGCAACCCTGACTGTCCTAGGTGCGTGCCTGTTTCCCGAGTCGGTGACGTGTGTGAGGCTCAGAGATGCTGGCGCCTCCGAAGGCCCTCCGTGCCGGAGTTGGACGGGGGAGCCCAGGGCAGGCCCTGTCCCGGGGAGATCAAGTGACTCTCGGCCGGCTGAGGAGCGGGAGCGGGTGGCGAGCCTGCCTGGGGCCGCGGGGGCTGCTGCCTCAGAGTTCAGGGAGGGAGGAAAGTAAAAGCTTTGATTCCTTTGCTCTTTGCAATCACCCTTTCTGTCTGTCTTCCCACCGTGCAGTCGTTCTCCTCGTCCTGTAAAGAATATGTTATAAAATAGACAGATGAGCTGATCAGGAAAGACCTGCTCCCTTCTCAACCTGCCAGACCACTCTCAGAATCAGCCTATTTTCTAAACAAATGTGTCGTAACCATGTGCCTATGTTAATCATACCAGGTCTCCCCGGTGGCACAGGGGTTAAAGTCTCGGCACTATCTATCTAGCCACTGAGGCCTGAGTTCGATCCCCCACCAGGGAGCTACACACATGCACAGCAGACCTCTCCTGACTCCCCGCTGCTCCCCTCAGCAGTGGATTTCAGTGGGTCCCCCTGTTCTGCTCCCCACTCTGTCTCTGGTGAATCTTCTCATCCACTGCACCTCTGGCCTGCACCCCAGCTCTTATATAAATAAATAAAAATATTATATAAATAATATAAATATTTTATAAATAAATATTTTATAAATAAATAAAAATATTTTTAAAAAATAATCTGTTAACACCAAATCATGAAAGTAAATTATGTTCAAAATGTAAAGCGAGACCTCAGCATCAGCGCTGGGAAGGTTCCGCCTAGACATGCAAGATTCTGCTCTTTTTCTCCTGCAACAACACACTGTGCTTGAAGCTCTTCCTGTGCATTTCCTATTTTCAAAAGTCCAAGGTGATCTTTGCACCCTCCATGCCACAACCCGGTCAAGAGTAAGGGGGGCTGAGATCAAGGAATAATAATATCTCCCACTGACAGTGTGAGACGTGACAGCGGGACAATGACACGGGCCCCGGAGGTTGCGTCCTGGAGGTTGAAACCGCAGTTTTGACTCGAGCCAGTGTCCACGCGGGGTGTGTGGTGACTCTCGAAGCCACATTCCCTGCAGGGCCGTAAACCCAGCCCCGTCTTTGCAGAGACACCGTCCTTCCTGCGGCCCCTGCTGGACCGCACCGTCACCAAGGGGGAGACGGCCGTCCTGCAGTGCATCGCGGGGGGCAGCCCCCCGCCCAGGCTGAACTGGACCAAGGACGACAGCCCGCTGCTGGTCACCGAGAGGCACTTCTTCGCCGCGGGCAACCAGCTTCTGATCATCGTGGACTCAGACGTGGGCGACGCGGGGCGGTACACCTGCGAGATGTCCAACACGGTGGGCACCGAGCGCGGCCACGTGCACCTCAGCGTCATCCCCAGCCCCACCTGCGACGCCCCGCAGGTGCCGGCCAGTGCGCTGGGCGACGACGGCTGGGCCACCGTGGGCGTGGTCATCATCGCCGTGGTCTGCTGCGTGGTGGGCACGTCCCTCGTGTGGGTGGTCATCATCTACCACACGCGGCGGCGCGGCGAGGACTGCAGCGTCACCAACACCGGTGCGTGCCAGGTGGGCGGGTGGCCGAGGGGCTGGCTGGGTCATTCTCTTCTGGAACGGCCGTGGCCGCCGGGGGCCGGGTCAGCAGAGGGATTCATTTGTTGCAAGCTGCAGAAACAGGGTTCCTTAAAAATAGCACCTGGCCCAGTTCAGAGCTGACGTGTAGAAATGAATCTTTTAAAAAAAGGATTGATTTATTTATGCATGCAAGAGCTGGGGTGCAGATCAGAGGTCTGGGGGGTGAGAGGATTCACCAGAGACAGAGTGGGGAGCAGAACAGGCAGATCCACTGAAATCCACTGCTGAGGGGAGCAGTGTGCAGACAGGAGAGGTCTACTGCTCTATGTGGGTAGCTCCCTGGCTGGGGATCAAACTCGTGCTGCAGAGGCTGCAAATAGCTTCACAGTGCTGAGACTTAACCCCTGCACCACCAGGGAGGCCCCCTGAATCTTTTTGTTAAAAACCTCATGAGAATAGAGCATCCCATTGGCTGGGAAATACACGGCAGGTGACAGAGTGAAAGGGACAGTCCATGTTCTTCACAATGGGGTGCTGAAGTCCCCAAGAGCATCCCTGGGGGTGGGGCTACTCTCTGCTATGGGTGCCGGAGTCCTGCTGTGGGGGGTGCCGTTGCAGCTGCCACAGGGGACTCTGGTTCTCGGTGGGAGAGGCCCTGACTTGACTCTGTGGAGTCTTCTGTAGCCACGAATACTATCGAGCCAGGACGTGGCAGAAATCAAGCTTAATTCAAGAACTAAATACTAGTTCGTGAAAATTCCCAAGCCCTTATCTTTTGAAACATGGGTTGATTTTGAAAGTTGGAAGGGGCCGCTCACACCCAGTGCAGTAGGAAATCAGCCCACACTTGGGTGACAGCAGAGCCCCCGCCTTACCTGCATCCTGCACGGGCAAGATGGTTTTGCGGGAGTAGCTTGTGTGGCTCGTGCAGAAACCAGAACAGTGCATCGCGGTCGTCAGGGAGGCTGTGGGTAATCATTGTCGCTCCTGGTTAAACAAATTCTGCTGCTTGATTACAGATGAGACCAACTTGCCGGCGGATATCCCCAGCTACTTGTCATCCCAGGGCACGCTGGCGGACAGACAGGAGGGGTACATCTCCTCCGAGAGTGGGAGCCACCACCAGTTTGTCACGTCTTCAGGGGGTGGATTTTTCTTATCACAACACGACAGTAATGGTAAGTGTTTAAAAGGCGGGTGAGCTGTCGTTGTTGCACACTCGGCGTGTGGAAGGCTCAAACAGAGATGTATTTTTCACTAGAAATTGATACACTGATTTATTTAGGACCCGGCCCGAGCTTCCTAGGAGAGCTGTGAAATGACATAGATTTTTGCCCTTCTTTTAAATACCTGAAAAATCTTTGTTTCTGACAACAGAAGAGGTAACAGTAAAATTGAACTCCTCTGTGAAACAGGACATTGCAGATGTTCTACGCTCCTGAATGTTCTCCTTGTTGGAGTGGTGTTTACTGGTTTTGCGCATGGTCTTAACGCACCCGCCTATCAGAGAGGCCTAATTCTGGCTCCCGCCTCAAGGATAAGATGGGAGGCAGCAGCACAGGACAGCCAAGGCCTAGTTCAAGACCCACATCTGCCTCCCGTGTGTCTTTGGGCAGTGACAGCACTTCCCTGGGAGATTTTTATAAAATTAAATAAAACGATAACAGGAAGCTCCGCAGTGCTTGCCACATATTCAGGACTCGACGTCCAGAAGCTATTGACATTATTTTCAAGCCCTTGGCCATTTTTCCCCAAAGCATTTATTGAGCTCACGAGCTAATGCCTCTCTAGGAAGGAAGAATATTGTTTTCAGTCGTGCAGCAAACTCAGTGCTAAGACAAAAAATTAAACAGCTGAGAGCTGAGCGGGGCCGGGGTCGAGCGTGCGGAGACAGCAGGGGTGTGAGCCCTCAGTGGGCGTCCCAGCTGGGGTAACGAGGCTGCAAAGAGCAGAGGCCCAGGCGGATTCCCAGACACCAGGGCTGACCCAAAAGATATTTTCAAAGTCCCAAAGGGACAGAACTGGGCACGGTAGAGCCAGGGGCCTTGGGTGCTGAGCTTGGCGATCGGTCGCACTCTGAGGCACCAGAGGCCATCAGCATCACCGAGTCCCGTTCTCCTGAGACGCAGCCCGCCTCTGACTGCACCCCTGCTTCCCTGCACGCGGCACCTGGAACCCCACCGTAGCCCTTGGCCATCAATACCGTGTCCATTCGTGACCCGCATGTCATTGCTGGGTTGCTTGGCCAAGTCACTGTTTCCTGGCCAGGCTGCTCGTGGCCCTGCGCATCGGGGCGTCTTGGGCTTCGTCAGTGCCCGGGCTGGTGCCTGTGGAGGAAGGGGCTGTCTGGTGTTAGCACGTGCTTGAGACCACGGCCGCTTTGGCTGCAGGCGCCACGCACAGGTCTCTGCCTTGGAAGTCAGGTGGGACCAGCAGCCAGGTGAGCACGCCGCTGGTTCGCCTAATCGAGGCCTCTTTTAGGAAAACATCACGCAGAGATGCAACAGATCTCAGTACATTTTTTAAAACCCTGCTGTGAATTTTTCTAACATGGTATTCTACCACGTTCATCTGTTACTGTGGAAAACGCCCGACGTGGAGAGAATGTCGAAAGGCCGGTGAACAAACCGGCTGACAGGCCTCTGTTTTCCAGGGCCCTGCCACGTGGACAGCAGCAGTGAGCCGGACGTGGAAGCGGCCCCGGATCCGTTCCTCTGCCCCTTCTTGGGCGCCCCGGGCCCCGCGTACTTGAAGGGGAGCGTCTACGGCCCAGACCCCTTTGACGCCTACCACCCAGGTACGTGGTTGCCCGCCCGGAGCCTGGGCGCCTCCAGGAGGGAACTTCAGAGGCGCTAACTCTGTCTCCTTCGGATGTTGTCCCCAAATAAAAAAAAGGCTGCAGTTCCGACCCGAGAGCAGCGTGGATGGACCACCACGAGCCCGGCTGCCTGAAGAGGAAGGAGGGCCTCCCGCGGCCTGCGCCCTCCGAGGACGCCCGGGAGCCGGCGGCCGCCGACGGGCCTTGGTCCCCGCAGGCGAGGAAGGTGGCCGGCTCCGCTCACTCGCCGTCGGAGGGGCCCGCCCTGCAAACTCTGTGTCTGAACAGATCCTCTGTGGACTTCAGCCCCAGCCCAGAGCGAGCTGCTGTGGCTTCGAGTCATTCTTTCTTGGGTAAGTGTGTTCAGGCGTCCGGTGCCGGGGCCCGGCCCCTCTCCCGTGTCGCGTGTGAAAGTGTCTTTGCTCTCCTGCGGATGAGGCTGTCCTGACCTCCTACCAGCTGGTGTGAGACTGACTAAACACGTTGCTCAAAGCAGAGTCAGCTGTGGGGGATCCGGCTCGATGGTGTCTTTCACCCATAACTAGGCCGCGGGCGCGCTGGGCTGACAGCGTGTGCGGGACCCGCTGCGGGACGAGCGTTGGGAGGGAGACTGAGGGGCTCGCTGTCAGCCGGGTGGAAAAAGTGGTTTTGGGCCTCGGCAGGCTGCGGGGTGGCGTCCTGAGCTCGCATGGCTGTGGTTTGGGAAGGCGGCCGGCTCCCGCCTCGCAGTCGAGCGGGGACGCCTCTGACCTGGCCAGACCGCTGCTCCTTGACCAGCCTGAACCAGCTTCAGCCAGGGAGGCCTCCGGAGCCCTCGGCCTTAGCGGGGGAGAGAAGATGGGGGTGCCGGCTGGCTGCAGGATGCATTTCGGGGTTTGTTCGTCCAGTCCCTGAGAACAGTGGGGCAGAAGAGCTGAGACTGTCTTTTCCGTGAATGCAGATACGAGAGAATGAGCCACAGCTGGTTTTAAAAAAAAAAAAAAAAAAACAGAATTTTAAAATATTTTGCTCGTTGTCTTGTCAAAATATAATTATTTGTATTCCTTTTTGGAAAAAAAAAATGACAACATCCTTGATATGACTAAGAGGTGGAGCCACCTGAATAACACTTTGCTATGAAAGAAGAAAGCGAGGGCTCACAAACAGCATTTTTCTCTTTTCATTTTTTTATTGAAGGAACAGTAAAATGAATCATAGGGTTATGTACATTTCAGGCCCATCGTCAGAAACAGCCTGTGGGTATGCTACATTGAGCTCCTCACGAAAAATGATTTTGTAAGAAACTTCCTGTATTCAGGCATAATTAATTGGTAGGTCATTCAAATGCCTTTCCTGGAGAATCATGAGCCCGTGAATGCTCGAGCTCTAGGAGAACTGACATTGGGGCACTTCAGTGCCCAGTGATTAATAACATTGTAGATCACGAGACATGACAGAACAGATGCACGTATTCAGTGCATATAAATAAGGGGGGTACAGGGCCTCCCTGGTAGCCTAGGGGTTAAGTCTCAGCGCTTCCACCGCTACTGCCTGAGTTCCATCCCCGGCCAGGGAGCTGACCCACCTGGCGCAGCAGACCCCTCCTGTCTCCCCGGGGCTCCCCTCAGCAGTGTACTTTGGTCAATCTGCCTGTTCTGCTCCCCGCTCTGTCTCTGGTGGATCCTCTCACCACCCCCACCCCCCGCCCCTCTGGCCTGTTCTTCTACGCAAAAATTAAAAAATAAATCTCATTTAAAAATAAAGAAAGGGAGTGCAGACATCCTCAGGGCCATTCTCTAAGTCCTCTCTCCATCACGCAGCCAGTGGTACTCACTGGACACGTGTGCACTCGTGAAAAAACTTTGTGTTCACAGAGCTGCTTCATTCGGGATGCGTTCTATTGATTTCCATGCTAGTGCAAGGACGCAGTGCTCAAGAGTTTCTTTCTTCCAGGAACATTTGGAAAGCCTCTGAGGAGACCTCCCCTTGATGCCTTTTCAAGCCTTGCTCAGCCATCAGATTGTCAGCCAAGAACCTTTCACTTGAAAGCTCCTTCTTCCCTGGGCTTGGACTCTGAATCAGAGGAAGATGGGGAAGAAAGGACAGATTTTCAGCAAGAAAATCACACATGTGCCTATAAACAGACCTTGGAAAACCACAGGACTCCACATTTTCAGTCTTCAGACTTGAACACATAGACGGAACGGAACCCAAGACGAGCTCTAACGTACTACCTCATGTGGACTTTATTTAAAAGAGAGAACCCTATGTTTTTAAATGGAGTTATGAATTTTAAAATGGTAAAATGTCTTATTTATACTGATGGGCCAAAATTACAAAAAGATATAAAATTTTATACTGGGAGTAACTTTCATATAAGAATACCTTTTAAAACTATAACTTTGTTTAATGCAAAAAAAAAGTATCTTATGTAAATTAACGGTATAAATCCATGACTATTTTATGTATTTTTATAATGCCAGATTTCTTTTTATTGAAGGTGAATACTAAAGCATTTTAAATAATACCTGTCTTTCACCATTTTCTTTTGCACATTGCATTTAATAAACCGTGTCAGTTCGATCCCCAGTCCCATCTACACAATAGCGATTTGTCTTGCTTTCAACACTTTGTGGACTTCCATAGCATCATGCCTTAAGTGGAAGAAAATTATATTCAGCACATAAAAATATGAGCAAGAACATGACCACTTCGCCTACCTCCCAGAGTTCTAATGCAAATATAAATCAAATTCACATATGTGAAAGTATGTTATAAATGGGAAGGAGCTACAAAGACTTGAGGTACATTCCATGTACCTAATTCTCTCTGACTCCACACACAAAAAGGGATTTGTTGTTACAGTTTGGGGGAACTTGTACACCCCAAACCACCATTGTTTAAAATCACTGCTTACGCCGTGTTTCCTGAATTACAGCAATGCCTGTGTGTTCTAATGTCGTGTGCTTTTCCAAATAGTTCCCATTCATTTCCCTTTCTTTATAACAACAGGATGGCTTATTGCACATTTCTGAAGTTTAAATGGTTAGAGCAAAGGTAGGTCTTCCTCCACTGGTCCAGGCGTAATGGGGTATCGGTAGAATTTTTGGCTGTTCCTGATTTTGTGCCGTGAGCAGTTCTTAAGCAGAAGATACTTCTAAACTATTCTGCAACATTCTGAGAATTCAAATATTTTCCTAATTTGGTCATCACAGCTGTACCTGTTAAAAGCTAAGTATAAAATCTGTTAAACATGTAAATTTAAAATACTTGTTTTGAACAGCATTTAAGGGAAAATCTGGCATAAATACAGTCGGTATTTTCAAAACTAAGTGACTTAGACTGAAGTAATTGAACGTTGAAAAAGCTTATTAAGTTTCATAATTCAGGTGACGAAACGGCACTTTTTTCTTTAGTGAGTCCTTTTCATATGCCCAGTTTTAAAAAAAGCTTTTGCTCAAGATCAGTTGGCACAAAAGGAGTTAATACAGCATATTAAGCTTTAAAATCTAACTCACTGAAGTTGTGAATTTAGGCCATGTCAGTTCTTTGAACTAAATTGGAGGCAGCTATTTAAGAGCAACATTTCTTCTCAGAGGATATCTTGGGGAGCAGTTTTCCTGCTTAGCGAGTGCAGAGCTTTGTTGTTTGCAAGCCAGAAGCCTGGAACTCAGATTGCTGTAAGATTTGGCTCCTGTAATTTAGACAACGGTCTAAGCCAGGAAGTTGATCTTTCCCTAGACCACCAGTGACTCAGAGCAGAGAAGTGATTTTGTATGCCTTGGCTTTACCAAATTGCCAGACTTTCGAAATCTTATTGTTAATTTGTCTTCATTATTGCCAGATGGGATGCAAGCATTGATAGGGGTCTATTCAATAATTATGAACTTCTTTAAGAGGATGTCATTTTTCCAGACATAACAAAGGTTTAAATCACTGACACCTGAAATTCAAAAACGAGATTCACTCTCCATCAATATGATTCCCCTGCTTATGTGCTGGAAATTATGGATTACATATAATCTTAGCTGTCTAGAACAGGAGGAGGAACTCAATTTCTCTGACATTTGTATGAAAAGAATATAATTTTGAGACAGCATGCTGAATTCAAATGAGTCTAGTAGATATTAAGCTACCCTAAAATAGCATAAATTTAAAGGGAGAATGAAGAAAAATGTCAGATTACTTGGTTTATTTATGAGGAGGGATGCTTAAAAGCCTCAGTTTCATCATTTTATGCTTTCTGGTACAAGGCTGGATCCTGTACAACTAAAGATGTTCACAAATTTAGTTTTTTTTTCCTTAATTCCACTATTGATGCTAGTAAGATAGTTACTATGTAATATTAACTGCTTTTTAAGTTATTGGGGAAGAAATATTTCTTAAACTTGGCAGCATATTATAAAAATTAAGTAGCTATTGGAATACCTATGGGAAGAAACCAAAAGTTATTTCTCAGAATCAAGCCAATGGCTCTGTATTTTAAAGACTGATGAAAGGACAGCGATTAGGAATTTGTGCATACTTGAGAGGTGTTAGCCCTTTTCATTAAATGTGATAGGAATTTATAACCAGAATTACAATAGATCTGCTACACCAGTAGCTTTCAGAGAATGAGAACCAAATGTGATTGCAAAATGTCTGCTTGCAACCCTCCCTCCCCATGGGAATCTGCAGTTACTGGACTTGTGTAAGAGGATAATATAGAACTGACTATTTTTTAAGATGTTTAAAGATTCATCTTTTGTTAAAGCCTCAGCAGAATATCCTGTTGGCTCTGAAATAAAGTGAAATCACAGAGTGAAATAAACAGACTTCTACTCACATTGAAAAACACAAGGATCTTCCAAATGAACAATTGGTCTTCAAAGAGGTTCTTCAATAATAATTTCTGTACTCCACAAAGAACCAGCTTACCTTTCCATGAGGCATTTCTTAAACTAATGTGTCAGAAGATGCAGAAACGGTCTCGATAGGCTTAATATTTGAGCTAAAATGGCAGAAAGGCTCACCTGTTGGTATGTCCTTTCAATAGAGAACAGGGTTTCTCCACATTTTCTAAATTTTCCTAATATTTTAGGTCATTGGGTTTTGCCGTAGGAAATCCAATCCTGGTGAGATTTCTTTTGGTAAAGATATTTGATTTTAATTGAGGGATATTATCAAGATAAAACATGAAAATATCATAAATTGAAAGGTTACAACTTCTCACATTCCTTCTTACTATTACAAAAATGTCAAGTTTATTTTCCACTGCTCCTTTTAGTTAAGAATCTAAATTCTATGTCCCAAATTCCTTTTCTTCCCCCTGTGATAATTGAGACCTGTGAATATAAGAAAATAATATTAATTCACCTGTAGCTTTTTATTAGACTAGTTTAATTAATTTTTGAGAATACTTTTTATTGAATAAGGCAAGCAATTCACAACTCAGAATTTCTTAAATTCTGCAGTTTCTTTTTCATACATCTTTGTTGAATTTCATGATGGAATTTTGTCTTCTAATATAACAAGTTTAACTTTTTTCTTAAATCAGATTTGAGCCTAACACCTAACACCTTCACGAGATTATTGTTTTTGTATCTTACTATTTCTGCTGTGACTTCATTTCGCCCTATCTACACCTCAGAGTTGAAATTTGGTGACAACACAGACTGTGGTCAGAGTGTTTTTATGTACTCAAGTGGGGATTTTACATCGTGATGTGAAAATGAGTAAAATGATCTGTCCTAATAATCAAAGAGAAAAAAAGTCAGGTTCGTAAGTAAATACTTGTAATAGTGTGTTAAACACTATAGCTCACTAGGGCTGTGTAATGGCTGGTTAGTGCTGAAACTTTACCCCTTGCACAACCAGGGAGGCCCCTGGAAAATTACTTTTTTTGAAAATCATTTACCTATCTTTCTGTGTATTTCTGAATTCTCAAATCCCTCTAAGATACGTTTTGGACCCTCAAGTAATCTTTTATATTTTTCATTTTCTTTTTGTGTTCCTTCTAGGAAAATGCCCAATAGTACCTGATTTCTCTAGTTCTTTAGCTGTTTTCTAGAAGGTTCTTTTTATAAAACTCAAGGAAATGCATATATATTTGCTAATTATTCTGGGTTTTTTTCAAGCATTTTGTGGGTGGTGGTGGTTATTGTTTTTGAGCCATTTCTTCTTGAGCTATAGCTGCCAATTTTTGTTTCACAATTTTTGCCTTGAGTCTTAATTTTTGTGCCTCTGAGAATCTTAAAATGATTTCAAAATCACAGAGATTGTTTGCATCTCTGTTGCATGTTTTTATTTTCCAAGACCGACAATCTCCCATCGTAGATCTTGTTAACTGTCTCTTGTGTTGGTGTTGGTTACAAGTTTTAAATTTTTTGTTTGCAAGTTTATCATTTTCTTTGCTCCCTTTAGGACAACGTTTCCTTCTGCAGGGGTCTTATGATTGCCATGCTGCCCTACTGGACCATGGTGGAAAACCAGGTTTTAAATTATAAGCTAGGAGAGATTTGGGGCAGTTATCAGTCAGTCACAGGAGCTCACAAGCAGCTTGTTATTCAAAGTTTATAATCATCAGTGTTAATGATGCTTTTGCCACTTCACACATGAGAAATCTGAGATTTGAAAGAGGTCAATGGTTTCCTCCAGGCCGGTGAGTACCAGAGGATCCAGGATTCAAACACATGTCTTCCTGACTTCAGTATCCATGACACATCCTTCCATATCAGTTTATATGGACAGCGCCAAGAGTGTGCAGGCCAGCAATGGTCTTTACTGCAGGGACTCATGTGGCTCTGTCAGAACAATGTCACAAGAACGATGGCGGCAGAACCCAGATTGTAGTGACTTGAACAGTGGTTTGGTGGTAAAGACAAATGCCAACTAATTTCCCAAGGAGTGTAGTAATGAAAAGAGGTTGAAAGTTGACTTTGTACCTTGATGGAGTGTAAGGATCAAAAGAAGTTACTCTTTGTAGGGTAGGTGTGAGTTTAGAGACTTACAAGAGATATCCAGTGACAATCATTCTTTGCAAAAACATAAGAATTTTGGCTAATTAAGAACCACAGTATCTCAGATGAGTTTTAGCAAGTGAGTGAAATAAAAGCCTATTTAAGAAGTCACATAGTGGTTGGTGTGTTGTCGCTGGAAGGTGTATTTCCTACTCCTCCAATGAATAATTTTTGGTTTGAACTTGTGAATTCTAATGCCATTTTTCTTAACACACTAGATACACACCCTACACTCAAATTTAACTCAAGAAATGCAAGTCCACTGATGCAATGCTTTCTAAACACCAGAGATAACTCATAAATTCTGGATTCCTACTGGCGATGTCTTACAGACCAATATATGCGAATGCAAGCCAACTCTTCAATGATGTAACTGTTGTGTGTTTAATTTATTACTCTGCAACCAGTTTAAAATACAGTAGTAAATATGGTCAAATTATCTACTTTTCCACAATCAAGAACTCTTAACAACTTTCAGAGGGTAAAGTTAGAAAGAAATGAATAAACTAAACCTATTTAATGTTTTAATTTTCACAACTGAGCTCATTTTCAGGAAACCCATATTCTTGAAATGTCTAAAAGCATTTATTCATGATTGAATGAGAGGGAATTATGTTAAGTGGATGAGAATAAGAGGGAAAGTGCCTAATATAAACAAATTCAATCACACTTCATCAATTTTTTTTAATTTGTGAAACAAGGAACGAAAATATTATACAAATAATACAAATGTTTATAATTTGATGGGACTGTTGGTTTAGGGCTGAGGTCCCAGATTTAGGAGTCGGACATCCCAGCTCTTAACTCCATTTACATAAGATGTGAAATGTTATCTCTAAGCCTATAAATTTCCTATCAATTGGAGATAACACCTATTTTCCAAGGTTTCCATAAGGATTATACATAATACAAAAGAACATGTTTCGAAGCATAAAAATCTTCATAAAATTTTCATAAAAATGGCTAGTATTATTTTATTCTACACTTGCAATTATTGAATAATATGGAACAGATAGGAAGCCTTGTTTCATTTCAGCCAGTGAAAATCTCAAATTCCTTTCTTTGTTATGGAAGGGTGAGATCACAGCTATATTCCAGTCACTCTGAAATTGTGGATTTAAATGAAAAACTGTATTTATGATCATATGTTAGAGGACAAAGACTCAAGTTTTCCATGTGACCTAAAATTATACTTGAGTGTTTCTGGAAATTACTTTTATTCCTTCACTTGTAAAATATGGTTAATAAAATAAGTACAATTTTTGTTGCCAAAATGTTGTGGAGATCAAGGGAAATTGCATATAGACTCAGAAAACTGCAGTTCTCTGTAAGTGCTGGGGACAGGGCTCCACAGGCAAATTCTTACTGTGGTTGAGTTGATGTCATTTGAATGATCCCAGGGCAGGTGCCTGAACTGCTCTAGAGAGTAGCATTAGCCTCTAGTGAGGCTAAGAGGACCCAGGAAGCCATAAGATAAAGTTACTTCTTTCTCTTCATCTGCACTGGCCGATCGGTGTTGTGGGGTGACCTCTCCAGCTTTTCAGAATAGGGCCTGTGGCCTCCTGCACCCCTGCCCCCTGCACGCTCTGCACCTGGTTGCCTCACTATACCGCTCCAGTAGAATCCCTTACCTCCTGCCCTACCCTTCTTGCAGAACCAATGTTGGGGTGAACGAGTGTCTTGGGCCTTCCCACCCATTCTGCTGATTTCTCCAAGGTCCCTCCACTTGGGCCTAACCTCAGCCCAGGTGTTTCTAAATGAGTTGTGTAGATTTATGTTTCTCATCCAGGAGGAATAGATTAAGTGGTAAAAAGAGCTGTTCAAGCTAATTACTATTTTTTGTAAATGGAGGCTGTCAGAGGAGAGCGTTTTTGAAGGAGTTACTTGCTTTCTTTATCTCTTCCCCTCCCCTGCCTCAGGGAAAAATGAAGCCCCTTTCCTGGCCAGGTGGGGATGGCAGGGAGAAGCTAAACTCACTCATGGTGGGAGAAGCTAAACTCACTCAACTTTTCACAAAGGAATGAAAGTTTATGCTGTCCTTGTTCACATCTATCATTTTAAACTAGTTGCATAAGAGTAAAACACAAAGAAAAACATGGTGTCTGGTTGTTTTCTGCTGGTAAATCTCTCAGGCCCACAGAAACCAGGCAGGGGGGTAGCCCCAAGTGGTCCCAGACTCACCCACCCTCTCCCCCCACCTCTCTCCTACAGATGCTAATATAAATCAATTAGGGGCTGACACAGCAATTGGCTGCCTGACAAATGTTCCATAATAATGCAGCTCAGGAGAATGTGGAATTTCTGAGGTGCTGCTTATAACGCTTTCAATCT